GCCTGGTTGGATATAACTTCAACAACAACTCAAGAAGTTCGACACCACCCATGATAAATTTAAGTGCAAGTTCAGTTACGTTTTTTGGAATGTTTCTCGCTGTAAGGCCCAGTGAAATTTCTCACTGTGTCTTACTGATCTCACTTCAATAACTACATATCCCACCCCTATGGCATTCCTAAGGTCTGACTGTACCCCATCTTATCATACACCATTCTCAGTGTAACTCACCACTCAGTGGATATCTGCAGAAAGACCTGGTGCATCCATGCAGTACTTAAAAGGTCGCTGAGCGCCCAGACAAGCTCTGGCATTCTGAAACTGTCATACTCATTGACGGACAGATTCTGAACACGTTGGAGAAGGGAAAGATGGCGCTGCATTCTCCGACAGGCAGCTGGATGACCTGCTGGAGGGAGTGGTGCAAAGGAGGGGCATGCTACCAGATCCTGATCCAAGGTCACCCGTTTGGTTTCTTTGGTCTTCATAGGTCAGAGGTTTGAAAGTGTGGTAAGAAGCCAGTGACCTTCTCTGCTGCACCAGGGTAAGTACCACACTCTTCTCTTTGCTACCTCAAACTGACTCTACTCCTGGTCACAGTCTGCCACTCTCACTATTGCCTGCAACACCTTCCCACACTTGCTCTGACCCCCTGCAAAAAAACCTTAAAACCTCCCACACCACTAGCCCTGCATGGTGTCTGCGCTATCTATTCACTGCGTCAGAGCACCACAACACCTTTCCCCTGCCCGGGACCAGCCCTAACAGCTGTGCCACCCACTTTTGGCTCACTCAGCCCCTCCTTTCCTCTCATTGTAGGAGCACAGGGCCCACAAAAGAGCATAAAGGATATAGAAGGTTGGAGGGGTGCCTGATACCTGACTCCTCAGCCTCTACAAGGAGAGAATCCTGTCTCTCACAGGAGAAGACTGGGACTGCTCCTGCAGGGATGCCAAGAGATCCATGCGCCACAAACCGTGTAAGTACCACTCTTCATTCCACTGCAACACTCCCATAATCTTGTTGTCAACCTCATTCATCGCACACCAATTCTAACCACTGGCTGTGATGACTTCTCGTTATCAGACAGTTACCACTAGGATGTCCACCATCTCTGCAAGAAACAGCTCGCTCCAGCAGTTGTCACTTCCTCGACTTCTGAGGAGTACCGAATCCCCAGTGCAAGCATGGGCAAAGCTGCCTCCCGCAACTCCCTCACCACCTGAGATACTGACTCCTCAGTGGGAACATTAGCCTTAGAAAGTTTGGGGGCACAATCTGGTGAAGCACCTCACTGCGACAGTTCCCTAGCTGGCTGAGGGAGAAACAGCCCAGGCCACTGGCACTTGGAGGACTGTCAGAGACTAATCTCCTGCTCAGTACCAGGCAGGAGAAGACCCTGTGGTGTCACCCATTAGGGACTGCATTCCCGTGTATAGGGAGGAACAGGAGCAGCAGGCAGGAGTGTGGGAGGCAGTGGCTCTCATTGTGCAAAGGCTTCAGGAGTGCCGCTACACAATGATGACCCAGCTACCTCAAGCATACATTCCTCTCTGTGGACAGGTTGACGATTGCCAAGGAGAGCCATGTCCAGCACCCTCAGAGCCTGCTAGTTAAGGGCACACATATGCACTCCGTCACTCCAGCCATTTGTCGTCAGGACCAAAGGCAAGGAGCTGGGGAACCTGGCATATGCACTGCAGGTGTCCCTTCCTCACAAAGAGACAAGGCATTGCCAGGAGACACCCAGATGGAAAAAGAATCACACAGAGGCCTCTCAGAAGTTGTCTGTCAAAATGCTCCAGAGATGGCCAGGTCCTCCAATCTGCATGTCTCATCCAAACCTTGGAATTTGAAGCCAAGGGCAGTCCATTTGCCTCAGGCAAGAAGATCCTCAGATGTCTATATTTGTGATGATATATTTAGTCATTCATGTTCACTGCACTTGATCAAGGCCACAACTGCTCTACATAGGTCGAAATGCCAATTGGAAGTTGAAGCATCTGTATCTCACAAATGACATCCAGAATGTGTTAGAAAATTGCTCCTTTCATTCAGCTTCGCTTGTCAGTAATCATTCTTTACAATAAGTGTAATGAAGACCTTTGCCTTGCCATGTCGTGGTAGATTTCTTCAGAGGTTGGCATGGAGTAGTGAAATCCCTTTAAAGGTTTGTTGAGACTTTTTCGAACTGTGCATACTGTCAGTTTTCCAGTTTTTTTTAATGCAGCTGCCATGCTACTACACAGTCTGTAGGAGTTATCACTTCCTTGATTACTCTCTTTTGCAGCCCTTTTATCTCGATTTTTGGGCTGGACTTGATGGCAACTGGAAATTTCTTCAACAGAAGCTGCATTGATCTCACACGATCATTCACTCTGAGATTATATTCACCAGGAGATATCTGAGGCCCGTAAGACAACTTCTTAATCTTCTGGGAAGTTTGGTAGCTGATGGGTTAGTGGCTTGTCAGATGCTGCAAATTGCTTCTGGCATGTTTATGATTTCTAGTCCAAGTGTTAGACTTACCCCAGCTGAGATAAGTGATTTTGTTTAATGTCTACAATCTGGAACTTCAGATTTTCAATTTTCGTTCTGCGTCAGGCTGTCAGTTTAATTTGATATCTTGGCATGTGAGTCATTCCATTATTTAATTCCAAATTTACTTTCAAGGGTTGCATTTTTGGGTCACTTCAGTCATGTTGCACTGGTCTGCAAAGCTGCAATGCTGCACGAAGTCTGTCTGACATTTCACATTTACTTGATGCTTGCTATCTGTAGACATCATTGTTGTAGTCACAACCATTTCCCACCTTAAGACTGATGTGTTTATTTATTGTATTGTGTACAGTGACTCATCATAATCATTTGCAAACATCTCTCCAGCAGCCAACTTTATGGATTTGGTTTGCTCCTTTCTGGCTAAGCACTTGCATACAATATGATTCAACTTCTCACATTTAAATCACTTTTCTCCCCACAGTGGACATGCTTTCCTTTCTTTAGGGTGTTATCCTGCATAATATTTACGTTGTTTCTTCTGGTCTTAATTTTTGTATTTTCTTTTCTACAATTATTTCTTCATTTTCACCAATGCGTTATAGATTCATTGAGTCAAATAGCACAGAAATAGACCCTTCGGTCCAACTCGTCCATGCTGACCAGGTTTTCCCAATCTAGACTAGTCCTATTTGCTTGCATTTGGCCCATATCCTTCTAAACCTTTCCCATGCATTTACCTCTACAGATGTTTTTTAAGTGTTGCAACCATACCTACATCTTTCACTTCTTCTGGCAGCTCATTCCATATACACACCACCCTCTGTGTGAAAAAGTTGCTGCTCATGACCCTTTTAAACCTTTCCCCTTTCACCTTAAAATTGTGCCCTCTAGTTTTGAACTCCCCTACCCTAGGGAAAAGACCATTGCTATCCACCTTATCTATGCCCCTCATTTTATTAACCTCTATTAGGTCACGCTTCAACCTTCTACACTCCAGGGAAAAAAAGACGCAGCCTATCCGCCATTTCCTTATAACTGAAACCCTTCAGTCATGGTAACATCCTTGTAAATCTTTTCTGCACCCTTGCCAGTTTAATAATATCCGTCCTATTGTTTTCATTCAGCCTATAAAGCCATGGCTGTACCTCCATTAGTTTGATTGACAACCTCAGAACTTCTGCATATGTCTGTAGATTTCTTGAAATACGTTCTTCCTGTCTCAGTAGATATGCTCCCTCAGCAGGCTTCCTTATGCCTATGTCAATTCCCATTGTTGATGAAGGTCAACTTACAGTTTTCTAAATTCTCATGACTTAACTAGATCTATCAGTGGAGTCACATCAACAGTCAGTAGTCTCCCTCTTTCCTTGAGTTCTAGTGCTGAACACATTCTATTCATAAGTAAAATTATTAAGAGGCTTATTGTGTGTCTTCAAAGCCTTCAACATCTTCGTCTAGCTTTTCTGTTCATCATTGAGATCTAACCTGCAATAGAGCGTTGAGCACTCTTGTATTCTCAGCAATGATTACGTGCTCAGTTTTGTTTAAAACATAATTCTATTGTTGTTTCATATTTTCTCCACTCTCAGTGGCAAGCCTTCAGTTCTGTTTTTCTTTCCTTTCATTTCCGCGGCACCAGGGAGTAGAAATTTCATCCCCATATTCACTTAACCCAGTGATTCAAAGTTGCAGACTGTTGTTATTTTTGTAAATCTTCCATTTTGTTTCTTTCAATGGCTCACTCTCCTACAGCCCTGAAAACCTGTTTTCAGATGCACCTGCCTGACATCATATTACAAATGACATATGTTTAATGGTTCCCACAGACTGCGCGCAAAGCAGCTTGCTGCAGAGGTAGAGGTCAGGTGATTACAGCAAGGATACAATAAAGGCAGCCAGTATACCAAGTACAATTACATATCTCCAAACAATACTAAAATATTCCACTTATTATAATTAATCAATATTTTAATGGATTACAATCTCTTTGACATGATTCATTGCTTTTAAATGTGTGTTGAGATGGGAGTCAGTGGTAGGAAAGTGGAATAGCAATGGTGAGCATTGAAGGAAATCACAAACATCAATCCAGAGAACACTGGACTCATGCTATATAATGAAACAATTATCCAGTTACGAATACAATTAATCAATGATTGGACTTACCCTTTAAAATGGACAAGACAATTTGTAATAATCTTATAATATTTGGATTACTCTCTTCTATTGTTGTGAAATTGCTTGGCTATTCACAAGCAATTGTGGGTGGAAGTGACAAGTATTCTTGATTGTAGAGTTAAGCACTACAAAATTCTTAACATAAAATTGAACATATGTTTGCCTCAGGTATCTTCTGAAACATAGTACATGCCTAAAGACCCTGCTCTGATACAGAATTGGTTCAGATATTGGACATACAATGCATTTTACCCATTTGTTCCTGTCCTAAAGTGATTTAATTGTTGTATGATCATTTTACCCATGTCCCTGTGTTACAGAGAGCTCAGGAGGATGAACTGGCAGTGATACGCAAATATTATGAGAAGTCAAAAGAGGAAGAAATAAAGCTCCTGGATAAGCCAGAGCAGTAAGCACTTTATTTTTGGTATATTAGTGAACACAGTGTTGAAGCCGTATACTTCAGCAGGGAACTGCATTCATGAAGAGCATGGGTTAGAGAGTTGGGTGACAATCTGGGAACTCCATCTGTGCTCTATGCAGGTAAAGCTTCCACACTGACTTAACAGAAATATAGCTTGTACGTGATCATCAACTGTACTGTTGAACAGTAAGAAAAAGATATTCAATGTCCATTTCCATGTTGTCGAGCAAAATAAAAATAAAATGCGATATTCAGGGCACAATAGTTAAACGATATTGCGTTTAAGAAGCTTAGTTAAGTTTCAAATTTCTTCACCAAACATAGTGCAATATTTTCATGATGGATGTGATAGTGCAAAGAGATTATTCTGCTCAGAATATTAATATTTCCTTTAAAAAATTTAGCCATTTAATATGAATCAGAGATAGTAGGAACTGCAGATGCTGGAGAATCCGAGACAACAAGGTGCAGGGCTGGATGAACACAGCAGGCCAAGCAGCATCATAGGAGCAGAAAGGCTGACGTTTCGGGCCTAGACCCTTCATCAGAAAAGGGGGAGGGGAAGGGGGTTCTGAAATAAATAGGGAGAGAGTGGGAGGCGGATAGAAGATGGATAGAGGAGAGGATAGGTGGAGAGGAAACAAACAGGTCGAAGAGGCGGGGATGGAGCCAGTAAAGGTGAGTGTAGGTGGGGAGTTAGGGAGGGGATAGGTCAGTCCAGGGAGAACGGACAGGTCAAGGGGGCGGGATGAGGTTAGTAGGTAGGAGATGGGGGTGCGGCTTGAGGTGGGAGGAGGGGATAGGTGGGAGGAAGAACAGGTTAGGGAGGCAGGGACGAGCTAGACTGGTTTTGGGATGCGGTAGGGGGAGGGGAGATTTTGAAGCTTGTGAAATCCACATTGATACCATTGGGCTGTAGGATTCCCAAGCGGAATATGAGTTGCTGTTCCTGCAACCTTCGGGTGGCATCGTTGTGGCACTGCAGGAGGCCCAGGATGGACATGTCATCTGAGGAATGGGAGGGGAAGTTGAAATGGTTCGCGACTGGGAGGTGCAGTTGTTTATTGCAAACCGAGCGTAGGTGTTCTGCAAAGCGGTCCCCGAGCCTCTGCGTGGTTTCCCCGACGTAGAGGAGGTCACACCGGGTACAGCGGATGCAGTATACCACATTGGCAGATGTACAGGTGAACATCTGCTTGATGTGGAAAGTCTTCTTGGGACCTGGGATGGGGGTGAGGGAGGAGGTATGGGGGCAGGTGTAGCACTTCCTGCGGTTGCAGGGAAAAGTGCCGGGTGTGGTGGAGCTGGAGGGGAGTGTGGAGCGGACAAGGGAGTCACGGAGAGAGTGGTCCCTCCGGAAAACAGATAAGGGTGGGGAGGGAAAGATGTCTTTGGTGGTGGGATCGGATTGCAGATGGCGGAAGTGTCGGACGATGATGCGCTGGATCCGGAGGTTGGTCGGGTGGTACGTGAGGACGAGGGGGATTCTTTTTTGGTTCTTATTGCGTGGACGGGGTGTGAGGGATGAGTTGCGGGAGATGTGGGAGACACGGTTGAGGGCGTTCTCGACCACTGAGGTGGGGAAGTTACGGTCCTTGAAAAACGAGGAGAACTGAGATGTACGGGAGTGGAATGCCTCATCCTGGGAGCAGATGCGGCAGAGGCGAAGGAATTGGGAATAGGGGATGGCATTTTTGCAGGAAGGTGGGTGGGAGGAGGAGTATTCTAGGTAGCTGTGGGAGTCGGTGGGCTTGAAATGAATATTGGTTTCTCGGTGGTTGCCCGAGATGGAGACAGAGAGGTCCAGGAAGGGGAGAGAGGTATTAGAGATGGTCCAGGTAAACTTAAGGTTGGGGTGGAAGGTGTTGGTGAAGTGGATGAACTGTTCGAGCTCCTCGTGGGAGCACGAGGCGGCGCCGATACAGTCATCAATGTAACGGAGGAAGAGGTGGGGTTTAGGGCCAGTGTAGGTACGGAAGATGGATTGTTCCATGTAACCTACAAAGAGGCAGGCATAGCTTGGGCCCATGCGGGTACCCATGGCTACCCCATTTGTCTGTAGGAAGTGGGAGGAATTGAAAGAGAAGTTGTTGAGGGTGAGGACGAGTTCAACTAAGCGGATGAAGGTGTCAGTGGAGGGGGACTGGTCGGGCCTGCGGGACAGGAAGAAGCGGAGGGCCTTTAGGCCATCTGTATGGGGAATGCAGGTGTATCGGGACTGGACGTCCATGGTAAAGATGAGGTGTTGGGTACCAGGGAATTGGAAGTTCTGGAGAAGGTGGAGGGCGTGGGTGGTGTCACGGACATAGGTAGGGAGTTCCTGGACCAAGGGGGAGAAGATGGTGTCCAGATAGTTGGAGATCAGTTCGGTGGGGCAGGAGCAGGCGGAGACAATGGGTCGACCAGGGCATTCAGGTTTGTGGATTTTGGGAAGGAGATAGAAGCGGGCAGTGCGGGGTTGTGGAATGATGAGCTTGGAGGCCGTGGGTGGGAGGTCACCTGCGGTGATGAGGTTGTGGATGGTTTAGGAGATGATGGTTTGGTGCTCAGGGGTGGGGTCATGATCAAGGGGGCGGTAGGAGGAGGTGTCGGAGAGCTGGCATCTGGCCTCGGCGATGTCGAGGTCAGTGCGCCGTACTACAACTGCGCCTCCCTTGTCCGCAGGTTTTATGGTGAGGTTGGGATTGGAACGGAGTGCTGCACGTTCTGTGGGGGAGAGGTTGGAGTGGGTGAGAGGGGTGGAGAGGTTGAGGCGACTGATGTCTCGACGGCAGTTGGAGCTGAAGAGGTCGAGGGAGGGTAGGAGGCCTTGGGGTGGTGTCCAGGAGGAGGGGGTGTGTTGGAGGGGGGCGAAGGAGTCAGTAGAGGGAGGGTTAGGCTCGCAGTTGAAGAATTAAGTGTGGAGGCGGAGGCGGCGGAAAAACTGCTCTTTGTCCAAGCATGAGCGGTATTCGTTGATCTGTGGGTGGAGGGGGACAAAGGTGAGCCCTTTACTGAGGACTGACCATTCGTCCTCAGTAAGGGGGAGGTCTGGGGGAATGGTGAAGACTCGGCAGGGCTGGGTGCTATTGTCCCCTCTGGAGCTGCTGGCTGTGGAGGCTGTGGGCGGAGTTGCGTCGGCGTCGGCGGTGGGCGGAGTTGCATCGGTGGTGGGCGGAATTGCGTCGGCATCAGCGGTGGGCGGAGTTGCGCCGGCAGTGGTGACAGGCTATGTGATAACAAAGCCTAGTGTGTGGAGCAGGGGACCAGGACATGGAAGAGTTTAGGCCCTAAAATTTTTGAACTCGATATTAAGTCTGGAGGGCTACGGGGTCCCCAGGTGGAAAATGAGGTGTTGTTCTTCCAGCTTGCATTGAGCTTTGCTGGAACGCTGCAGAGACAGAGATGTTGGCAGGGAACAGGGTGGTGTGTTAAAGTAGCAGACAACTTTTTTCCGAACAGAATGTAGATATTCTGCAAAGCGGTCACCCAGCCTACGCTTCATTTCCCGAATGTAGATGACACCACATTGTGAGCAGCGAATGCAGTAGACTAGATTCCGGGAAGTGCAGGTAAAGTGCTGCTTCACCTGGAAGGTATGTTTGGGCCCTTGGATACTGGTGAGGGAGGAGGTAAATGGGCAGGTGTTGCACCTTTGCTGGCTGCAGGGGAAGGTGCCGTGGGGCTGTGGGAGGGTGTAGGGGGTGAAGGAAGTGTGGACCACGATCTCCTGGATGGAACGGTCCCTGCAGAAGGCAGACAGGGGAGGGAGGGGAATATGTGTCTGGTGGAAGTATCTCGCTGGAGTTGGCGGAAATGGCATCTGATGATCTTCTGGATGTGGAAGCTGGTGGGATGGTAGGTAAGGACAAGGGGAACCATATCGCTGTTGCTGGAGGGAAAAAAGGGGGTGAGGGCGGAAGTGCGGGAGATGGGTCGGACCTGGTTGAGGGACCTGTTGACAACGGTGCTGGGGAATCCTCTGTTGAGGAAGAAGGTGAACATTTCGAAAGCTCCCTCGTTGAAGATGGCCTCATCTGAACATGTGCGATAGAGACGAAGGAACTGAGAGAATGGAATGGAGTCTTTACAGGAAGCAGGGTGTAAGGATTTGTAGTCCAGGTAGCTATGGGAGTCTTTTGGTTTATAATGGATGTTGGTGGCCAGTCTATCCCCAGAAATGGAAACGGAGATGTTGAGGAAGGGAAGGGAAGAGTCGGGAGACAGTTTGTAAGGTCTGGGTTGAAATTTGAGTGGAGCAGGCATAGAACGTCCCAATTAAGAAGCTCAGAATTTAAAGTTTGAAAAATCACCCGCGATTCATAGTCAGAAATCTCTGGATAAAACTTAAAACTGAGTTGTCAACAGCTACCAGATAAAGTCATCTGAAGTTCAAAAGGTAAAATGTGAATGATCCTTTGTAGCAACAACCTGGAATAAAAGAGTCTCTGGAAAATTGCTCATGTAGAGAAGGTATTTTGAATATTGCTGAAAAGAGTGATATGTTGCTAAAACTTTTGGTTTTGCACTCAGTGGAATAAATGCTAAAAAGGCTAAATTTCAAACCGTCAAAGCATTTTGTACCACATATGAAAGGGTGGTCTAGATGTTACCATGGAGAACTGGGGAGTAATACCTCAACATAGTCAATTTGTCAACAAATCGGCATCTGTTTTATTCTGTAATATAAATTGATGTGATGGTTTCAAACTTGGCATTCTTGCATTTCTCCTGATGAGCAAAAAATAGAATGCTTCAGCAACACAGTGCTTTTTAAAACATTTGAGTTTTGTGTGAGCTAAAGAAAATATTTTAAGCAGTTTCAGGATGAACAGAATTTTCAATCCTTCGGGATGATCCTGAAGTCTCTGGAAATGGAAGATTATTCTCCTGAATATTCTCCTGAATATTCTCCTGAATATTGCTATTTATTTTTATTTTAATTCTTTGAACTTTTTTCTTTCTTGTGACTGACCAAGGAGGCAGTGGTACAAGTCATGTGATGGCAAGAATGGGAATGGTAGCAGACAAGAGTTTGTGAAGTTTACCTTAGAAAGAATTCTAAATTTGAAGCTGTGGAAATGTGAACAAAATTTGGTGTCCCCCTGGACAAATCTTATTTGAAGGTACAAATTAACCGAAAAAACAGTGGCATGCAACTGAATTCAAATTGAAATAATTTCACCAATTTCATCGTGAATTAGCCAAAATGGGGTCATGGCAAATTCAGAATTTAGCAAAGCTCATAGCTCTAGATATACAAAGCATAACCTCACGCAAAGCTAACCTTAATTCTCCCAGAAATTTGTTGAGATGTGATGACATTATGATGAGGACCTTAATAATAAACTCTCTGGCATAAACCTCCCATTTGGGTCATAATCGCTATTTCTCATCCTTATCAGTCTAAAGGTTCCCCACTTACCTTTGGAGGAATTTTCCAGGTGGACTTCCAGGTCAGGAACCTTCCCAGCCCAAGTAGCATATTCCAGTCCAGGAACAATTGCAAATAGCAGTGGAGTGGGCTGACACTGAACCTGTGACACTCTTTCACAACAGTAGTTGCAGTAATCTGTGGTTTAGCAGTCCGAAAACCTCTTTGACAGCTACTGAGAAAAGACACACGTGTTAAGTAAGTGAGGGGCTAGAGTGGCAGACAGATGGGGCAGGGTGTCAGTTAGACAAGAGGGTAAGTTGCCGGATGGGTAAGGGGGTAGAATAGCAGGTAAATGGGTGAGTGTTCAATGATGGCTGACAGCTATTGGATTGGTTGTAGGATGATATGGTTTTACGGGGTGACCATGTTGTGTGTTGCAACCAGTCAGGGTGGAAGCCATGAGTTTGTTTTACACATCAAGGAGGACGGGTCACGTCAGATTCGAGGTGTGCTGGTTGCACGCGGGGAGTGGGGAGGGGATGTCAGATCTAGGTAGGTTGGGACAAGGGGGTTGGTGGAGGAAGGTGTTGGGTTCAGGAGTACCCAAGGTGGCAGGGGTGGAAAGGCGGGGTCCAACGGTGATTCAGGGTATGTTTAGAGTGGTGGGGGGTGAAGGGTCTATAAGTGCTGACTGGAGATTGGTTTTATATTTAGCCAGGAATTAGAACAGATTATAATTTCTCCATCTCCTTCTCATTAACAAATCAGGTAAGTGAGTTGGAAGTCTCCAACTCAAAGTCAAGTTGGGGTCTTTGTCGGGGGTTTTCAGATGCAGACTCAACTGCACTGGGACTTCTGCGTGGTCCTGATGTACAATTCCAGTCTGCTTCAACATTTTCTATCTTTCCATGAGAAGATCTGAGCTCTTCTGTTTTTCAAAAAATGGATTAGTTTGTAAAGCATTATTCAGCAATGTTAGAGAGAACAAAGCTTTAAATCAGTACAAGGTCCTTGGAACCCTGATTGTTCTGAGACTGTGGCACAGGAATTGGGCTGAGGAACTCTGTATCTAGGAGTTTCTGATCTAATGATTTAAATTATTCTTCAACGCAGCGAAGGACTTAAGTTCGAAGGGCATTCTCTTCAGTTGGTATTGTATCATAATGTGATACCAAATTTTGTGGCAGAAATAGAGATCATGCTGTAAGCGTTAGCCATTATTAATGTGTAATTCAGACAGTAACCACCAGTCAATGTACTGGTACAGATAGGTATGTATGTTCGAAGTTGTTGTTTAAGATGTTCTCTACCTCTGGAAACTGGATGATAATCATATCACAAACCTGGCTTAGTTCTAACAGCGAAAAGTTTTGTACAGCAGAACATGGACACTGTGGACAAAATCAGACACGGCAAACACCACTCTGTACCCCCCCAGTATGGCTTGTCATCCTGGGAGATCTGGTATGCCAGGTTTCCAGTGGTATATCTGGGGCTATCAGCATTGTGATTTGGAGGCACCAGTCTGGGGGGGGGTGGCTCATGATAGCCTGGGTTTATTTGTTTTCCTTCTGGAGCCATCAGGAAGTATACTGCTGATTCTTCGGACAACAGAAGTCTTTTTCTGAATTGCTGATTGGACTGCTTAAGAGACATAAATGCAAGTCAGCCACAAAATCTGACAAGGACAAACAAATATCCCAATCCAAATCCAAGAAGAGACTTGAGTTCACTAGTGGTGGCCGCTAGGAACCCATTAATAAAAGACACTGACTAATTTAACACTGGCCTGAACACTCCTGTGGATCGGACATGAGCCCCTGCCTGCTAAATTAATTTTAGGCCTACAAAAACAGGCACAATAATGTTACATTTAGTTCCATATAGTGATCAATCAATCACAATAAAGAGTATGGGTATGAAATTGCCAATGTGAAGGCAACTTGACTTTTAGCTACTCATTGTGCGACAGCTTGAATTAATCAGGGCACTGGCTTTCACTCATGTTGTAATAATTAGTCCATCTTGACTCTGCTGTGTTAGTGATTGTAGCATTTAGATCCTTGGAATTCAAAATCAAAGATGTATTCTTAATAACCTCAATGAAATATTAATGTCATTGCTTTTTTTACACTGTATTTACATGATCTGCGTTTTTTAAAATTTCTTAAGATTCAAAATGCCTTTATCTGATACAGGTCACCTCTCACTTTTCAATAGGTTCTTATACGAATTATCACAGGTACCTAACTTTGCTGAACGCACCCACTGTATCATATTTCAGTCTGTTTTCATGGAAGGAATTTCCACACTACGACGCAAAGCAGGGAATGTTCTACACCTGAGCAAGGTATGATTATCATAATGAATCCAAGAATATTGACTTGCCCTCAACCACCTGCTGAGATCTGTTTATTTTGTTGACACAATGACACAAATATATTTGTTGCCCATCCTAGCTACAAGTGGTAGTAGTCTGTATTCTTGAACTGCTGCAGCCCATCAGATGACATTATTTCACTTGATATTTCAGTATTTCACAAAATTTAAGAATTGAATAAGTTAGACACAGAGTTATTCTAACTATGTTGAATGTTCTTTTTGTAAGAAACATGTTTTGTAGATAAAAGAGAAACAGTAGATATAGTTGTTCGTTTGCTTGCCAAGCCAGTTGTTTCATGGTGTGCAGTCATTTCATTACCATTCTAGGCAACATCATCAGTGCAACCCCTAATCGAAGCGTTGTTGCTGTGTTCCATTCCGAATTTATGTGATCCTCTGGTGTTGTGGGTCTTGTCATTTGCAGTTCTGTTTTTTAGCAGGGGTCTGTATACGGGGTCGATTTCTATGTGTTTGTTAATGGAGTCCCGTGTTGAGAACCAGGCTTCCAAAAATTCCTTTGCATGTCTGTTGTTCACTTGTCCCGATGCAGTCAGTTTGTCGCAGTCGAACTGATGGCCCTCATTGTTTGTGTGTATTGAGGCAAGTGAATATTGGTTGTGTCTTTTTCCTGATGATGTTGCCTAGAATGGTAACGAAACGTCTGCACACCATGGAACAACTGGCTGGATGAGCCAACGAACAACTGCATCCACAACCTTAGCTACAAGTTTTTGCTAAAACCAATACATACAGTTATTGATTTCTGGAAAGCATTTGATAGAGTGCCTCATCAAAGTTTATAGTGGAAACTCAAAGCTCATGTTGTAGTGGGTAGCATATTGGCATGGACAGCAGATTGACTGGCTAACGTGAAGTTAATCGAGTGAAACAAGACTGGTTTAGAATACTCCCAAATTCCCTGGATGGGTGTACCTCTAACAACACTCAAGAAGCTAGATACCATTCAGGACAAAGCAGCCCACTTGATTGACACTTCATCCACCACCAACACTCAGTAGCAGCAGTGTATACAATCTACAAGATGCACTGCAGAAATTCACTAAAGACCCTCAGACAGCACCTTCCAAACCCACGACCACTTCCATCTAGGAGAACAAGGGAAGCAGATACATTGGAACACCACCACCTGCAAGTTCGCCTCCAAGCCACTCACCATCGTAACTTGGAAATATATTGCCATTCCTTCACTGTTTCTGGATCAAAATCCTGTAATTCCCTACCTAAGGGCATTGTTGGTTAACCTACAGCTGGTGGATGCAGTGGTTCAAGAAAGCAGCTCACCAACACCTTCTCAAGGGCAACTAGGGATGGGCAATAAATGCTGGCCCAGCCAGCGACACTTACATCTAGTAAGTGAATAAAAATGAAGTGTAGAACAGTTGAAAGTCCAACTGACCCCCTTTCTCACAGCATTCAGTTGGATTCTATAATTTAAAATCCAGCATCACAGACAACACTTCGACGTCTGCTGTCAAAGGCTGTGTTTGAGGGTAGGGTGCCAGGTAGGTTTGGGTGCAATGTGCCAGGTAAGTCAGTGGTACATGGGTGGGGTGCAAGGTGGGTAGGCGGTATAGTACCAGGTTGGTAGGGGTTATGGTACCAGGTGAGTAAGATTCTGGCACAAGTTGCAATATTTATATGCCATAAGCCAAGATGCTTCATACAATCCCTTGCTTAATCCATGGTTTGTTAACTTTAGTTTTTATACTGTTTAACAAACCTGTTTTCCCAGTTATCATCTGTTCAAATGATCTGTCAATGGTCATATATTGGGGTTAGTTTATTATCACTTTGTTGAGTGTACTTTAGGAATACTTACTTTGAAGTTTAAAATGTAAAGTTATTCTGAACTAAAAACAACTTTATAATTTTATCTGTGTTCTCAAAGACCTGCAGAATTTGGCTCTTTGTGTAAATAAGAATGAAAATTGCAGTACCGTGGTGAGCTACTGCCATGTCATGAATGACTGAATGTTAAAAGAAAATACGACCTCACTGGCTAGCAATTTCTTCTGTGCAGACTTTGACAGATCAAAAAAATGTGAAGATTGTACTTGGACTCATCCTAGCCTTTGGAAATCACATGAACGGCGGAAACAGAACACGTGGCCAGGCTGATGGATTTGGTCTAGAAATTCTTCCCAAATTAAAGGATGTCAAAAGCAGGGTATGTTATATCTCAAATTCTGACCATGATCAATATCCAAAGATGCTGTCCAAATAGCTGTCTTAGATCAAAGTCTGTACGTGTGTCAATGTGAAAATTGTAACGCATTAGTTTTTTATGATTTTGTTGATGAAAAGAGAAAACATATATCTGTGATTAAATCCCATATCTGCAACTGAAACTCAACAGTTTGATCATTGCACCACAATTTAATTTGAGTTATTTACTAAGATAACACATTTCTGTTATATTGGACTTGGTACCTTGACTAGACAGTAGTTCTTTTGTTCAAAAACATATTTTGTAGTGCTTAATAGAAGAAGTTAAACTGTGTGGTAAAGTTTAGAGAAAAGATTTAGCCACATATTCTTCAGAGTAGAATTTCCGACGTGTAGAAATAGTTCTGCATTGTAAATTGGATGCGTGCAGCTTGGGAAAGTGGGAGTCTTTGATGACACTAGGTCAATTATCAGGTAGACCACTTTCCAAAACTCCATTCCAGATGTTCATTGTCATGTGGAGAACATACATATATATAGTGCACCAGAGCTTTATATAAATGTAAATAAACAAATACATGACTAACAGATGAAGTCCTGGGATCTACAGTGTGGGTGTTGTAATGAGTAATTACAGGCCAATAATGTTTTAATAAAAAACAAAAGAACTACAGATGCTGTAAATCAGGAACAAAAAGCAGAAGTTGCTGGAAAAGCTCAGCAGGTCTGGCAGCATCTGTGGAGAAAAAATCAGAGTTAACGTTTCAGGTCCAGTGACCCTTCCTCAGTTCTGACCTGAAACATTAACTCTGATTTCTTCTCCACAGATACTGCCAATGATATTTTAATATTTCAGCAAATGACTTATTCAAGTTATTAAATGTATTAAATTAACTCTTTCATAATTGGTATCATTGCATTGAGTGTTCTGGCACAGGAGGCTAAAGGGCAAAGGAGGGATGCCAGGTAAAGCTGCTCACAGCAGGAGCTGACTGTCTGCATTTGCCATTATCCAAGCAGTTATCTTGATGATTCCAGATGCAACTGGCTGGTAATATTTAAGAATTGGCTTCAGAAGTTCACACTCAACAGAAAGGCAGTTATTGAGCTGAACTGTCTACTGTAGACAACTTTCACCTTCAGAATATTTTAGATATGCATTTGTAATGCTAACGCATTCAAAGCTATGAGAAAAGTGCTGGAAAGTACAATTAAAATAGTTAGGTGACTATTTTTGACTGGCATGGACATGATGGGGCAAAGATCCTTTTTCTGTGCGGTAGATCTGTATGACTATAATAACATTGCTGCTACACTTTCAGTTGCTCTAGGATTGTGATTTTGAATGCACTGCCTGAAAGGGACTGTAGACAAGTTATTAAGTAATTTCTCAAAGGGAAATGAATGTATAGTTGCCAATGAAACATTTGCAAGCCCAAAGGAAACAATAGGAAAATAGGAAGGTGGCCCAGTTGTATGAGTGTATTTTTTTCATTTACTCCTGGGACGTGGCCGTTGCTGGCTGGCCAGCATTTATTGCCATCCTTGTTGCCTTTGAGAAGGTGGTGGTGAGCTGCCTTCTCGAACCGCTGCAGCCCATGTGTTGTGGGTTGACCCACAATGCTGTTAAGGAGGGAATTCCAGGATTTTAATCCATTTACTGTGAAGGAATAGCGATATATTTCCAAGTCAGGATGGTAACTTACTTGGAGGGAAATATCTGGGTGGTGGTGTTCCCATGTCTCTGTAGCCCTTGTCCTCTTAAATGGTGGTGGTCATGGGTTTGAAATGCGCTGTCTAAGGATCTTTGGTGAATTTCTGTAGTGCATCATGTAGATAGTACACACTGCTGCTGTTGGGCTTCGGTAGTTGAGTGATTGATGTGCCAATGAAGCAGGCTATTTTGTCCTAGATGGTGTCAAGCTTCCCGAGTGTTGTTGAAACTGCAGTCATCCAGGAAATATCCTGCCTTGTATGATTCTGTGAACAACAACTTGACTGTACTGTGCTGTTAGTTTGCATTGTGCCTAGAGGATAAATGGCACATTTTGGAAAATCTGAGTTCTTCTCGAAAGACATTGCTGGTCAGTGAACAGTAACACTGTATTGAAACATCAGTGTTTTCTTTGCTAGGTTTGGACATGATGCTTTCTTTGTAAGTCATAACCCTTGCTGTTGGTTGGAGATGGAGCTAGGATGCTGATAACCTCTTAATCCTTGGCAATTGGCATTTTTGCACCAGCAATGGTGCATTACAAAGAACACAGATGCAATGAGGAGCTTAGGAGATGCTTTAATAGTTCAACCATGGCAAGGTCACAAAGATCATTATTATCTGCTGCAAGCTGTACAATGTTCACTGCTACAATGACTTACAATGGAAACGGAGGACAAACTGGAATTAAGAAAAGACCAGATTAAGATATTTTATTTAATTTTGGACTAAAAGGAATGTACTGCTTTAAACCAAGGGAACTGCAGAAAAAAACCCAAAAAAACTGCGGCTGCAGTAAATCGGAAACAAAATCAGAAGGTGCTGGAAAAGCTCAGCAGGTCCGGCAGGATCTGTGAAGAGAAATCATGGTTAACGTTTTGGGTCGAGTGACCCTTCCTCAGAACTCTCAAATGCTGCCAAACCTGCTGAACTTTCCTAGCAATTCCTCTTATTGTTTCCGAGACTGCAGAAAGATTGCTGCAGTTTTTTTTAAAAAAATGTCATGTTTACTGGAGCAGGTTGTGAGTTGTATACAATGTTGCTGTACAGCCACTGGGAAACTCCCAGAATGTCAGTCAGACTGCAGATGAATGGCATCCACTTCTGGAAGCTACTTCTGCTCATGGACCTCAGAGATCTACGCTACAGAGAAAGAAGTTACAGGGAACATCATGCCCTGACCAGGTGATCCTGCTTTGTATGCAACCAGTCCTGTAGAAACATCTCACCAGCAAAGAAAAAGCACCAAAACGTCGCTGTGTCTCTCTGCTGTCGAATTGCCAAAATATCTCCAGCAACAATTGTTTTCCTCTCCAACTACCTCTGTAGATTCCCTTGTTCAAAATAAAAAGGGAAAATCTGCATCAGAGCCTCTGAAAAGGGTAAACTCTCAGTGAGAGAATGAAAGACTGAACATCAGTAATGTAAAAGATTTTGTGTTAACATCAAAGAATTGCAAAGAAGAGAAAGAAATCAATTCATTGATTCCTGTGCTCCGAACTGATAGGACTTCAATAGAACTTTATTTCCTTGATTTTTGTTTTTCTTTTTCTATCCTTAATTATCATGCCTTGTCTGCTTTTGTGTATGTGTGTATGTAGGCTATGAACCAAGTACAGGCAAATAGGATTAGTGTCGTTTGGTGGCTGTTGATCGGCATAGTGTTGGGCTGAAGGGCCTGTTTCTGTGCTGTATGATTCTATTCCTTACAATTAAAAATGAACCCTTCAACAGATTTGAACTATACTGCAACTGATTAATTACCTGATTTAGCTTGATGTGAGAGCGATTTGGTGAGTTTTATCATTCAGCTTCACATTAACAAGGGGAGGCAAACGGCCTGATGGTATTATCACTGGACTGTTAATCCAAAGATCCAGAGAATGTTCTGGGGATCCAGGGAATGTTCTGGGGACCCGGGTTCAAGTACCACCATGGCAGATGGTGGAATTTGAATTCAATAGATATCTGGATTTAACTATCTAATGGTGGCCATAAAACTATTACCGATTGTTGTAAAAACCCACCTAATGTCCCTTAGGGAAGGAACCTGCTATCCTCCCCTGGTCTGGCCTACATGTAACTCCAGACCCACAGGCAATGTGGTTGACCCTTAACTACCCTTTGGGCAATTAGGGATGGGCAATGCATGCTGGCCTAGCCAATGACATCCTCATCCAGTGAATGAATAAAACTCTCTGACTTTCAGTGTACACTTTCTTCTATGTTAATGTCCTGTGTAAAAGAGTAAATCTGCTGTCCACTCATAGGACTCCAATGGCAAGTGATTGGAATTCACTGGCCCGGTATCTTGTGTGATGTTTGATGAGATGGGTTAACTTGCAGGCTGAAGATTCCTGAACAAGAATATGATGGTGATTTTCTTTTCATTGACCAATTAACTATGTAGGTTGGGAGACTGTAGTTTTCACCAAGGAAGTGGGCAAGTGATTCCCTAAAATCCAGTGATACACAGTAAATCCTGAACTAGTACTAGATGTAGATAATAGACAGTTGTTATAATTGAGTTTAAGCACTAGTGAAGCTCCTGAATTTTGAGCTGCTTTATTTCAGCTCTGAATCTATAACTTTCTGAACCATCCACGCCTGAAACCAAGAAAGGTCATTTGAATTAATGGGATTTCATCCCTAGCTATAAAGTAGGTAGCATATTAAAAAGCTTGTCAACCCAATGCAAAAACAAATCCTGCAGTGCCACAGTATTCCAGATAAACTGACGTGGCCTCACCTCCATCCACCATCGGTCTTTCTTTTCTTCACTTTCCTTGCCATGATGCTTACTGTATCATTTGGCTTTGTAGTCAGAGCACATATAATATAAGATTTGAATCAGCACAGCATGTTGCATTGTAGTAGTCTTAAAATATTGTCTTGATTAATAAATCTCACTGTTCGAAGTAGACAGCAAAATTTACTGAACCTTTAAAGTTATAAGAATTTACAGCACAGTAACAGAGGTTAATCTGATGAACCCGCTATGTCTGTACTGGCTGAAAACCAGCTATCCAGCAAAATCCCGTTGTTGGTGGTATTTGTGTGGCTTCCAACACTTGCAAGTGTACAACCATGTATTGTTAAATTCATGTTACCCAACACGCACAGAGAACGTGTGGCACCAGTAAATCAAAAATGCTGATTAACGGTATACCCTGGCAGCATGACCTTTAGCCTCACCATCTCCTCCCGTAAGCTTCTTTGCTGTACAGTTTAGTCCCATGTTAATCTTACTGAAATAAATTAATTAACAAAGCCTTCTATTTAAAATCATCTAACCAAACCTGTTTATTTTGCATTGAAAACTGAAAATCATTATAGAATTGGTGCTGTAAAACGCTGATCAGAATTTTATGTAATAAAAATGGTTTTATTAACACAAAGGCTGTTGATGTGAGAGTTAGACTGCGCCTTTGACAAAAAAAAGGCTATTTTTACCATTCTCTCTCACAGAAGTGCCCCCACAGACCAGTTATGATATAATGTCATTCCCATTCTCTCGAGCTCTGCTCTACTGGAATAGCTGGCATTGGACAAGACCTTGTATGCATGGTTCCTGGGTGAATGACCTTTAAACCTATCACTTACTCTCACCAGCTTCTTAGTCAAGCTGTACAGAAGTGAATGATTTAACTGTTCAGTTGACCCAGTAATCTTCCTGAAGTTAAATTTGTTAGAGTTCAACTTCATGATTCTGATGTGCTTCCTCCTTGTGAGCTGAACAGTGCCAGAATGAACCTCGATTTTTAAAGAAAGAATGTGTAGCAGTCTGAGATGAGAAATGTTCGTTTTAGGGGCATTCTCATTGGTAAGGTGAAAGATAATACAAATTTTACTGGACATTTTAAATGTGACAATGGGCTCTGTCTAGACCACCCTTTCAGGCCATGATTTCTTGGTTACTATGGTGCACTGGGTAAAAGGTATTTCCCTCTACTCCCATCAGAACATTCCAGAAATTACCTTTAATGAATGCCCCTTTGTAGTAAAGTATCACACATGCACTTTAACTACCTTATCTACTTGTCTTGCTTCTCTTAGAGGTCTGTGGTCATATATTATAAGGTCACATTTCTCCTCTACACTTCTCAGTTATGCTATTTTTTTTTTGTGTGTGCTGCTTTGGTTTGTTTTCCCTTCCGAAATGCATTACCTCAATCTTCCCTGGATTGAATCCCATTTTTCACTTTTCTGGGCGCCTGACCAGTCCATTGATATCCTACCCATCTCTGTAATCTCCTCCAGCTGCATAAATCTCAGAAGTCTACGCACAACTAATTTGAGCCTCTTGAGCATTCTTGAATTTAATTATTCCACCTTTGGTGGCCCTGTGTAGACCCTAAGCCTCTGAAATTCTCTCCCTAAACTATTGACTCTCTGGCCCCATTTGTCATTCCTAGATAAAATGTGTGGAGGTGGAAGAAGTTACAAATAGTCACCGACGCTCATCATTCTTAGCCTGTGATGTGGGCTGGGTTTAATTCAGGCTACACAGCCCAGGATAGGCTGAAGAGACTGCCAGACACTGAGGCTAATGGCTGGAAAACATGCCTCAGGGCTCAGGCACCATGTTGAAAACTTAAAATTTAAAGAACAAAATGCAAAGCATTTCTCCAGTCCTCACTCTTCACAGCTGCCTTCCAACCCCTCAGCCCCACACACTCCACATGCTTTATCCATGCCACTGAATGTCCTCCGCTCACTCCCTGTGACCCCATGCCACCCTATGAACCTCTAGCCATTCTCATGTCCAAGCATATGCTCAAGCCAACCTATGTTCTTCTCTAAGGGCGTCTGACATCCCTACCACAAATACATGTAAAAGTAGAAGTTTGTATACATGGTATAATAGAATCTAAGCAGTCAAGATTTTAAAAGGCCCTTGTATATTAAGTGGTTTCATGATGTAGTAAAGAGCATTTCTATTGCTGAGACCTCGATTATATCTCCTAGTATCAGTATAAATTGGGTATCTGATGAAACTTAGTTGGTTGGATTAGATTGTCTTAGTTGGTTGGAAATAATTCAATGTACTGCATTGTATAAAAATTATATGATAAAACTGTAAGACTATTATCA